GATGTCAGGTATGATGGCGCTGATTAGCGAGACTCGCATAAAAAAGTCTCCGATCTCATATATGTGTCATCCACGTGACATCATCAATTAATGGAAGATTAAAATATTGATCAAAGCATATAGCATTGAGTGCTCTATAGTCTTGGACCATGCGTTTAGTTTGTTTACCGTCGTCAGATGGCGGCTTTTTGACCAAAAATGCAGGACTGGTAATATTATATGGACTGGTACTTCTTTCAATAATGCCTCTTTTTAACAGTTCTTGTACCTGTCTATTAATTTCCTGTTGATCGCATAATGAAATTGCCGTGTGTGTACCACCTCAGCATTTGGTTTTAATCGTAATTTGTGTTTGTATACGTCTGTCAGAATAAATGGATCTCCATCAACGAAAAATGCTTCGTCGATCAATTGATGTATCGTTTGTAAGTATTTTTCGTCGTGGTTTTGTTTAATTTTTGTCATTAATATTTGCGTCCGATCATTTAAATTAGTATCATCTGCATCCAGCATATAAATATTATATTGTTTAAATATGTTATAGTCGTCGTCGCGTTCGATCGTGATTTTTTTCATTGTTACCTCTTTAAATTTTGGTTGCGTGAAGTAGTCGTTTTTTAATGAGTCGTAAAATTTTTTATTGCTCTTTTGTTTGAAATTTTCTGTTGTTTCTGTGTAATAAATTTTTGTTTCAAATTCATTTACACGTTTATTGTATTCGTTGTCGTTGTCACTTGAATTCCTTATGACTTGAAATGTACTGATATGTTTTTCTGGCGATTTATCGCTTATTACTGGCGTTTCTATCTTGCCATTGTTGTTTACTTTCATTTGGAATTCAATATTTTTGTGTAAAAAGTCAATTTTGGCATGATATTTTCTGAGAAAGTCAATGCCCAAAATACCATCTTTTTTCAATCTAAATCCATTGTTTAAAATATGAAATTTATGCGGCAGATTGAAACCGTTTATATTTAAATCGACGTTAATGGCGCCAAGAGAATGGATTTTTGTGCCTTCTGTGACACCACAGGTGACAATTTTTTCTCTTTTGTCGACGATTGTGTTTTTAAAAAGTTTCATTGGTTTAATGACTGAAATTTTCGCTCCACTGTCAATTATAAATGTGAGAGGAGATGGTGCCTTTAATACGACTAATTGCAGGATCGCTTTATTTGTATAGTCATACATTGAGAAGATTCGACGAATACGCCTAAGACGCCTATACACCTCTACTTTGCAAGAGATCGCTTTTAAATTAAAAAAAAATAAGAGTGAAAATAATTGCAATAAAAATATAAAATATATAAGAAAATAATGATAATTAAAAAGATATTAAAAAAATAGCAAAAGAATTTTTAATAACAAAAATAATATCAATTTCTTGCGCTTGTGTGCTTCGATAAACTTTTCAATGTTCAAACCATCGAATGAAGAAGGAAGCACCGAACCACGAAAGCATTAAACTTTTTAACTGAACGTTTCAACTTCACGCATATTGTCAAACTGTCAAAAATCACACCGCAAAAATGTAAACAAACGAGAACATAACCTCTTTTTTATGTATAATATAAAAAATGTATTGTTGTGCTGTTGAGCTGCCGAATTTTTTTTTGCATCGTTGGTTTCGTGTGTTGTTTTTGCTACATGTTTGCAACATACAAAGCGGCATTCATGAAAAACACACACAGTTCGTAACTAGGTCGTTGTCGCACAAACAGACAGTTTAATTGTAGAGTGTGAGAAAGCATTTGGCAAAAATGATCGGATGTCATTTATCATTAACGGAACATTTTATGTTTGACGAGAATTGTGCATGTTTATCACTTTTTATATAAACATAAAGTGGCTGTCGTTACAATGTGATTTGATTGAATTCAATCTTTCGGTGATTTTCTTCGCATACCGACGTGATTTCGATACGATAAGAACATTTTGACCGCCATTCTCCAATCAAACAACAACCAAACCTTCTTTAAAGGTACGTTTTTAAACGTTTTTTGAGTAAGAATATTTCATTTTCAACATATGATTCATTTTTTGCTGTGTGTTCTTGGTTTAGTTTAAGTGTAAATTTCTTGTTTTGATACTCTTTTTTATGTAGCACGCGCTCCATTTTTTGTTTGTATTTTCGAGAGATTTTTGTTTTGTTTTGTGAAACCTAGAGAAGAATATTTACAATTATTATTATTTATCTGTAATCGTTTGGTGATTTTCTTCGCATACAGACGTGATTTCGATACGATAAGGACATGTGGATTGCTATTCTCCAATCAAATAATCAAACAACAACAAAATCAAGGTAACATACCGTTTTATAGACGTTTTTGAGTGAGATTATTTTATTTTGGATCATGTTTGCTTTGTGTTTTTGGTTTAATTTTAGTGTAAATTTCTTATTTTTGATAAGTAATTATTTATGTAACACAATATAACTTGTATTGAGTTTTGCTTCGGTTTGATTTGATTTTTGTATAACATTTTGGCATCTTTTCCTATATAATAACATGAATTTGCGTGGTAGCAGTATCACGAAACATTTGTCGAATCTTTTGTTACAAGCAGTCTTTGTTACCTATAGTCTCATTCAATATCTAATTATTCAATATAATCCGGAGCATAAATAATTTTATTTTATTTTATTGAATCAAGGTGAAAATGGAACCAATCGACAGTGGAAGGGATATTGTGGACTGCCCGATCGACAACTGTGGGTACACGTGCCGTCGACGAAAATTCAAAAAGCATTTGCGCAACGATCATCCAAATTTCGATACCACGACTGTTCGAAAGATCTATCGAAAACAATTCGGCTGTGGTTTTTGTCAGGCAAGCTTCGTATCGTACCTTACAATGGTACGACACTTCGATCATCATCACGTGCCAATTCCAGAAAGACCATTAACCGATCAGAATCATCTACGCCGCCACCGATCTCGTTCACGCAATCGCTGTGGTGCTTCACGGGGCCATTCACGATCGCACGAACGCCGCCAATATCGCCGCCCATCGCGCGACCGCCAAGAGCGCTACCCATCACGTGGCCGCCAAAATCGCCACCCATAACGTGATCGCCAAAATGGCTCACACTAAGATTGCCGACTCACAAAAGCGTGAACACGCCACATTAAATTACAAAACTGTGTAATTGGATTCTTACCATCAATAAATTGTTCTAAAAATAAAATCGTGATTGAAAACTTTTGATGATACTTATGCTGATACTTTCTATATTGAATGTTTGAATTGGGGTGTGTGTGTGTGTGTGTATGTATGTGAGCATTTCAAATTCTTTAATTATAATAAGGTTCTTTCCAATTTGCCAAGAAACCAAATTTAACCACAACATATTGTCATTGACAACATGTTGTCGCATTTCAAAAATTCATAAACAACATTTACTCACTAACAACATAATGTAAGTCAGTAGTGTGCGAGGAAAATTTTTCAGGGGGGGGTGATTTTCCAAAAACAAAAAATTCTCTAGCAAATTAGACAAATTTTCGTTTTTTTTTTTTTTTTTTTGGAAGTCACTTTTTGAGGCGAAAATCCCTAGCAAATCGAAAGAATTTTCTCCGCGAAAAACCCTAGCAAATCGGAAAAAAATCTCTCGGAGCCAAAAACCCTAGCAAATTGAAAGAATTTTCCTCAATTTTCTACATTGATGAGCTAAAAAAAAAAAAAGGACTTCACTTTTTGAATCAAAAACCCTAGCAATTTCGAATAAATTTCACGAAAAATAAATTCTCATCCAAATCACAGGGGGGGAGAGGGTAAACCCCCCCCGCACACTACTGATGTAAGTATAACATTATGTTATATTTTTTCCAAAAAAAAAGATGTTGCACTCAATGGCTAGGGGACGGACACCATTATAAATATTAGAATATTAGCGGAATATTAGCAAAATATTAGCAAAAATTGTTTGTTTTGCTTCACCATTGCTTGTTAGAGAATTGCGCACTTTGCTCACCGAAAACTTTTTTTGTTACTTTAAGTGTTTTACTATTTAATAGAAATACATTTTATTTTTTCTAAACCAGGAAAAATAAAAATATGTTAAATGTTCATCTAAGAATTTATGAAAAATTCATACATGATTTCACTTTGAGATCAGCTATTTGACGTTTGACGTTTATACTAGTGAGCTAATATTAGCAATTGCTAATAATATTAGCAATATTAGTATGTATGTATAGTTATAATAGTAGATTTTTTTATTAATATTAGAAAAATATTAGCAAAATTAGCAGTAAACTATGAAACCAGATTTTACTAGATTTTGTGTTTGTTGAAAAAGGGAGCATGTTCTTGTGACCTAGATTTTATAAAAGGAGAGTATGTGATTTAGCCAAACCGCTCTGTATCAAAGGAGTGTATGTGTTATGGGTATCTATTGTAAACAGAGAAAAGTAAGTTTCTCTACGTTCTTGTTGTAATAAAAGCGAGTATGTTTAGAGATATAGTGTATTTATTTAAGTTTTTTCTTAGGCGAGCATAAGTGGCAGCTACAACATATTTGATATTTGCACGTTGCTATAGCAACATTAACACATAACAGAGGATTGCACAGGCGTCGTCGTTCGAGTGAAGCGAGCAAAGTCTATGTCGTTCTAACGGGCGCGCATGATACGAATGTGAATCAACGTTGAATGCTTGATATTCGATATGCCGTTGTTTTATTTACACTCTCACGCAGCAATATATTTGAACTGTATTGTTTTCAGACCGCCATATTCATTTCAACTGAAGTAAGTGAGAAAGAAATATAATTTAACTGTGCACACATTCAAATGGTTAAGAATAAACACAATTTGAATTCGTAAATTTTACATCAGTATTGGAGATATATTGATTTGTTGTTTACATACACATTTGCACAGGCTTCATTCGTTTGTCAATACATTTGTGTAATATCACGATCACGGCGTTATCGTCTCCGCGCTAAACCATATCGCCGGCAACGACCACATATCATCTATGACAGCGATGAGTCGACAATGGATGCTGTTTATGAGACGACAGAGGGTGATGCAGCTTCTGATATGCAGCCGCAGGTTGGATCATCAATTAATATCGTTCATTCTGATGACAATGCCAGCATGAGGACCATGGCTGAGGACGTAGTCGACGACGATGTGATTTTTGAGCCGTGTTATTCGCGATCCAATGGAGTTCGAAGCAGCAGCAGCAGCAGCGCGTGCAATGATTAACAATTTCCCGCAATCACCATCAATTATTTCAGCATTTATAGCAATGGCAATGGATGTGGATGTATCGGCAGCACAGAAGAAAGACCAATAGCAGCTGTGGTACAACATGTAGAAGCTCCAGTAGTTGTAGCAGTGCCAGCAGCAGCAGAAGAAGGTCCAGTAGCAGCTGTGGTACAACAAGTGGAAGCGCCTGTACTTGTAGCAGTACAACCAATTCAACCCGCACCAGCACAGCCGCTCAATTCAGGTCGCCCATTATGTGCCATTTGTCTCGATGATTTGTTACGAAATCATCCAATGATGCTTCCTTGTCATCACGTCTTCTGCAGGGACTGCGTTAATGAGCTATACGAGCAAGATAATACTAGATGCCCATTGTGCCGTGAATACATGTACAGCTATGCAGATGCTGAGGAAATTTTCATTCCATAAATATGTTTTTTTTAATAATGTTTCATCACGATCACGTTTTCACACTAGTATAATTTGAATTGTATTTTTTACCAAAATTTTCAAAAAATAATACATCAAAACCGTGGAAACAAAAAAAAATCATGTTTTATTTATAATATTTGGGTGATTTTTCTCTTTTTCTCCCTTTCATCTGTCATTCACATGTCACATACTCTTTCTCGCTCTCCCTCTCACTCTTTCTCCACAGCCATTCGGACGCTCTCTAATTCACCCCTCTATCTCTCTCTCATTCGCTATTTCTCTCTCTCTCTCTCTCATTCTTTATCTCAAACACATACACACACTCTCTCATACTCTTTCTCTTTCATACTCTTCCAAAAGGTTAAAAGCCGATTCTGAAACAGGAAATCAAAATGATATCAATTTGATATCATTTTGATTTCCTGTTTCAGAACCGGCTTTTTCTCTCTACTTATTAATAGTCTCTTTTCCTCGTTTTTTGATGGTAGACTCTACAGGTTCGTTTTTGGTTATGTTAGAAATGATATTAGCACCTGATTTTAAAAGTTCATTATCAAGAGCTGATTTACCACTTTTCAGAAGTGGAAAAACACATCGAAATAGTCCACCCAAAAATGATCCAATTCCATGACCCTTTTGATAAGAACCACTTGTATAAACACCACCGAAACCTGATCCAGCCTGATTTAGATAATAATCAGAATATACGTCATTGATTGTCTTGCAGCGCATTTTGATTTTTAAAATGAAGCTTAATCATCAAAACACCGTGTTGAAATGGTATAAATTCCCCTGTGTAGTCTCTTATATCAACTGAAATAGAGTCAATCTCACGTCTTTGCATGCGCATATAATGCATGTGTGTGAATTCTTTATAGCAAGAGTCACCGAAAGTATATTTTTTTGTTTCTGTATTGACAATTTTTATTACATATGCTTTTTCATGTCCAATAATTGTGGGGTCAATGATATCTGTATAGATAAACAATTTGATCGGGTATACCAAAACGTATGTTGCCAATGTGTGGTGAAATCTGTGCTTGCATTAAATCATTATTTGGAGAGAATCCCAATTGTATTGCCAATCGCTATATATGCTGAATGTTTTTTTGGACATGATCTCTGTGGACAACTGTACGATTACTGAGCTTATCAATTGACATCAATACTGCATTTTTAAACAAATAGGGTTTTACTTGGTGATTAATTGCATCAATAAGATCACTCACTGAATTGTAATAGCCTTCTGTTACTTGAAGTTCATGTATGTTATTCTCAGTTATTTCACTTATTGCATTGCCAACATTTTCATTATCAATCAATTTGATTTTATTGTTCTCATTTACATTAAAAAAATTGTAGTTATAATGTTCTTCAGCGATGATGCACTTTTACTACTGAGAATTTTTCAGAGCTCCACTTCGGTTTATAGCCTTTCTCGAACACTGATTTCGGATTAGATACTCTTACAGTATCACCTAGTTTCAGTGAGGTACAATTCGAAATTAACATGGTACAATTAGATTCAGTGAGGTACAATTCGAAAATACCATGGTACAATTAGTTTCAGT